CCGGCAAATTCCATAATCGCAGAGGCCTTCCTCACGCGAACTTACAAGGGCATTAGTCGAACTCGGTGCAACTCCGGAGATAATCTCTTAATCCTGCTGCAACCCGAGTGGGAGTGTATTTTACACTGGATCCGGTGTTTGGCCGATTGCCCCCACAGTTTTACGTTAAAAGGGATTACTCCAAATACAGTTACTTTCGTATAGGAGGACGAATCGAAATTTTATTACCACAGAGACGAGTTTGAATTTAAATGTTAAATAATATGATCGAGGTATGCTTAGGCGCATGTGGTAGTATGTCACTTGAGAGAAAGACCGACTACATGGAACATATTGGCATGAAAATCCAACTTTCTGTGGTTTTTCTAATAATCCAAAAGTATTGTGGCCTAAATATATTCACACCAATAGTTTTATTACTCGAAACAGGTATAGACCAGGAAAGGAAACATTTTGAAATTTATTAATTACTGGGCGTGATTTTATTGTTGGAAAGTCTTGGGAATGATAATACAAGAGGCGTCTCATCAAATGGGTCATGAAAAAAGTATAACGTCATAGTTTTTTATCAACAAATAGGTCAAAAATTCGTAATTTTTCGTTCAACGCGTTATTGTAAAAAAACTATTAATCTTAGCAAAAATTGTTCAACAGACGATTTGATCTAGAGAAACTCATCTTTAAAATGAGAGTTTATGAGTTAAAATTGCTTTACAAACAAAAAATTTATTGCAAAATTAAACGGTGACACATAACAAGATTTCGAGAAGTCAAGCATGTCAGTCATCTCTCTTTTTAAAAATGGTATGTAATTATTTTGTTGTGTTAATTCAATTTGTGTGTTCATTTATGTAAAATATATTTTTTTTATAATCTGTATACCTTTGCATGAATTTTTCTCGGTTTCTTGAAGTCACTAAACAAAAACCCTTTTAGCAGCGGCAATATGCGGTATCTGTTTTCTCGGTTCGGTCTATTTGATACCACGGCGGTAATCGGGTTACTAATAAAAGGCCGTCGCGGCGCCGTTATATGAATATGTCTCGACACACAAGATACCCTATATGGGATTAATTTTTAAATTCAACTTTTAAATAGAATCTAAAGCGGCACGCTCGTTTTAAATGAATTTGCCCGGATCTCATTACGACCCGACCCGGCTAGGTTGCACTTTTCAAATTTTAAACCGCAATAAAAAGTTTATGGTAGCGACGCGACGCCTCAGCGATACGGGGGTAATTTTAAAAGTTCGGTAACTTTTTGTGATGCGAATTACTTTTTTTATATTTTGTTCGAAAAACAACTATTTTAAAAGGCACAGACTGGGTAAACCCAAAGATGGACTATAAACAAATGACGTAGGCAAAGTTTTTCGTTATCTTCTCTATCTCAAATAAAACTTCCTTTCAAATGATGTCTGATATACAGTGTGTCCCGTATTTCAGGTTAACACCTCTGGAAATGTGAGAAGGCTGTGGAATTTCCGCAAGCCAATTTTTTTACAAATAGTACCCTGAAGGGAGGTTATATTCTACTAATCATTTTATTGATGTCACAAAAGCCTGCCCTATTACGATTTTTTAAAAGGGACGTTTTTCCAAAAAGTAGTATTAGGCATTTTTTTATTAAAAATATAATATTACCAGGCTATTCAACACCAATTAAAATACCCATATTTGTAACAAATTTGAACGGCAAATATCTATTGAGTGTTTATTTAGTGGTGCCAAACTTCGAAAAATCAAACAACTAAAAATTATAATAAACAGGTTAAAGATTGCCATGAATGTGAAAACAAATACCAATCGAACAAAGAAAGAATGCAGGCACTTATAATTACATTAATTAATTATTATTAATTATTTATGTATAAAAATAATAACTTACAAAAAATGTAATGGATTATAAATACTAAGTTCTTAAATAAAAAATTGCCAAACGTTAATCTGAATTAAATTTTAGTTTTCTCCACCAAACCTTCTTCCAATCGAACCCATTTTTCCAAATTCTCTTAAATTTAAAAATAATTTACATAGCCATTGTGGAGTAATTTCTGCACAAGCTTGTCTTATGCAATACATTAGGTTATCCAAATTCCTTGAGTCTGTTTTTGTAAACTTTTTGTTTTATAAAACCCCAAAAGTAAAAGTCCATAGTTCGAGAACACTAAAATTTAATTCAGATTATTTTGAAATTTTTTGTTTAACAACTTAATATTTATAATCCATTACCTACATTTTTTGTACGTTAATTATTATTTTTACTATGTCCGCAATTGAATGTGTTAAATTTATAGTGTCTTGTATTTTTTCTTTGTCCGATTGGTACTTGTTTTCACTTTCATGGCAATCTTTGACCTGCTTATTATAATTTTTAGTTGTCTGATTTTTCGAAGTTTGGCACCACATAAAAAAACACTCAATAGACATTTGTCGTTCGAATTTGGTATATGGGTATTTTAATGGGTGTTGAATAGCCTGGTAATATTATCTTTTTAATAAAAAAAATGCCTAATACTACTTTTCGGGTACTATTTGTAAAAAAATTGCGGAATATCCACAGCCTTCTGTATATTTATAAAAAAAATATTTGTTTCATAAATGGAAAAGAATGTAGGAATTTTATGAAGTACCTAGAACTTGTTTACCACAAAACCGCAACACTTGTCTCGAAAATCATAGAAACAATTGAATATTGGTTTATAAGCTGGTGACAGGACACACATGGTATTGCCGAAAATCTTGGATGAGTAGGAGGCCATAAACATTTTTACGAAGATATTTCAAAAATGTTTCTAAATCTCTCGTCTAAAAAAGTATTATTTTTTTCCTATTTGATATAAAACTTAGAGCTTATGTTACGTGTGAATGCCATAGTGAAATCGGTGGCTCTCGACAAATATTAAAAAAGTATTCATATTTTAAATTTAAATAAACTAATATTTATTCATAATTTTTTCGCAACTTGGTTCTAATAACTAGTTACTTACACCTAACATTACTACATACTCAAATTTATATTTTTTATCATTTTAAAAATGATCCCTTCAGTTTTATCTTGTTCGCTTATTTTGCGCCTTCTCGTGGAGAAACAATCCCCCTCCTGATCAAGGCCGGCTTGTTTTTCCGGAAACGGCCCGATAATACTCGGCCATTTGGCAAGAATAAGATTATTTCCAACATAATTCATTTGGCGGGGGGCAAGCTTTTTTGTTCGGTTCTTTCGGCGACGTCTTGATCGATGGAAGGGCCCCGAGAGTCCAAGAAATTCACTCGCGAATCCATCAAGCTATCGGGGAGGGTTTTTTTGTGGACGTTCTCCAGAATGCGAGCCGGAAAAACGGGTTGGCCGGCTGTTTCTTGCGCGAAACGTCTTCGGGGCTTCTGTGCGGAAAGTCAGTCGTAAAAAAGGCCGGCAACATGTTCACCCCTTTGGAAATTGTATCCGTGCGCCGCTGGAAGCTCGGGCGCCTTCGATTCGCGTGCCAATTAAGGGCAAATTGAATCCAGTTAGTTGTTTTGACGTGGCATTCATCTGAAGGGATGTCAAACAGAACTGAATATATATTAGGGCTCCGCATAGGAACGTAATGAGGACGGATACGGTAAATGGGAGGACGGGAAGGTATTTGATAATCAGACTGAGGGGGATTTATTTGATCCGGTAAGAAAACGAGAAAGTAATTGCGTTTTGCGGTTTATGTTTCAGGCACACGCAGAGGACAGCACGTTATCAAAGTACAGGGCGAAGTAAAAAAGTAAAAGAAAAAAAGATGAAAAAAAGAAAACGACTACGATAATGGTTATGACAAATAGAAGAAGAAGAAGAGGAAGTTTAAGATTACGACCGGAAAGAAAGAAGGTGTCAAGAATTTGGTAATTGCGATGGGAATGAAGGAAAATTGTTAAATATCTGTATAAATATCTACAAGATGTATTAAATTCATTAGAATATAATGTGGTAAATATAATATTTCTCTCATGATTTCTTTGTTTTCTTTCCGAGACGATTCCGAGAACAATTTATTAGTCTGTCATGTTTTATAATTTTAAATTTAAAATACGTTGAAATGGTAAGATTTCCTGATTTAATTCTGTAAAATTTGAGTAGGTACGGACAAATTCCAATAGATGGCGCCACTCCAAAATAAGTCCATCTCGCTGACACTGATCTAACGCTAGTCTACTTAAGTAAGGTACCCACAAGGGTGGGGGTGGGTTTGAATCTACCGCGCGTCTCGACTTCCCAACTAGATTAAAGAGTGATATCTAACAAGAATAAAGTATGAAAAGTTTGCTGTGCAAAAACACAAAGAATTACCTAGGATAATTTAATAGTCTGCCATATTTTATAATTTTAAATTTAAAATACGTTGAAATAGTAAAATTTCATGACTTAATTCTCTAAAACTTACGTACGGACAAATTCCGATAGATGGCGCCACTCCAAAAAAAGTCCATCTCGCTGATACTGATCTAACGCTAGTCTACTTAAGTAAGGTACCCCACAAGGGTGGAGAAGGGTTGGGATCTACCACGCGTCTCGACTACCCAACTAGATTAGAGTGACATCCAACAAGAATAAAGTTTAACTACAGAGAAGATTTGTTTTAATGTTTGGTTTGTTAGTGTCCTATAATATACTTGTTTTTTTTTTCGACGAAGTAGAAATATACCCCCCTTACAAATCGAGGTTTACTATTCGTCTCAAACTGTTCATGCAGCGTCATGGATTCTTGTTGAACCAGTAGTGGTGAGATAGCGGATAAAAGTAAAACGCCATCTGTCGGCGATAAACAAAAGTTCGAATATATTTAGGAGAAAGCAATTTTTTTTATCATGCCAACCGCATTTTTAGCAATTCCTGAGCTTAATATTGGGAGGTTCCCGTAATATAGGGGCTTCAATTATTGCGATAAAACACTGCCATCTATTGACAGTCAGAGGAGAGGGTTCTTCCATACTATTACGTTTATTTAATACAGAAATAAAATACAGATAAATTGAATAATTATTTATTTTTTACACAGTTCTATTGTTATAGGCAGAAATATTCATATAAGAATTAAAAAACAATATTATAATATTACAATGAATTTTGCACATAAATGACAATAAATTATAGATTCATTGGGTTTCAAATTATTGAACTCTATTGTTAACATCGTTATTATTGGACGTAAAGAACCGACTAAAGAATAATAATTCCTAGGTTAATTAGGTAATATTCATTAATGGAAAAAACAAATTACACTTTTTAAAATGGGACACCCTGTATATTTAACAAAGCGTTTATATCGATATAAACTTTTTTACTGTTGCTTTAGAAACAGTTTCTAACGGTCAAACACCATCGAATTTGAATCGAAATAATGAATTTTGCTGCTTATGTAAGCATTATATCGGAATGCGCATGCGTCCGACTGTAGAAAACTGTTTTGGATTGGTCCAGGGACAAAGTTTTGATGGGGTGGATTAAACCCTAGGGTAGAAGAGATACATGCCCCAAGTGTAAATGTGCTAAAAAAAGACTTCTAGAATCTGCATCTTACGCTTACGGTATGATGATGACTTTATGTCGCTGTACTCCTGAAGATTATTATATCCAAACGTGACCTAATATATAGGGTGTTCCACTACAAAAGTGTTATTTTGATTAATGCTTTGTAAACGAGAAAATCAGTTGTTTTTTCGTTAAATGTACAATATCAGCAGAAAATTGGTACTTTGGTAACACACGCCGACAAAAAAACAAAAGTTTTTGCCTTTTAGATCAGACCTCGTTTTTCCTATGTATTTTGATGTTCTGAAAACGAATTTCAGGGTTAGAAAAATATTGTGACCCAAAAGTATTCCACAAATCACCTTCAAATGCGCAATATTTCAAGTTTCCTTGCATTTTTTTGGGTAACCACATGCCACTCATCAAGACTTGTGTGATGTTAACAGAATTCTGATTTTCAAAGTTTTTGATATAAGAGACTGCGTATGAAAGGTTGAGGTACAGATTTCCAAGCTATAATCCCTGCCCCTTCTGGATATCCGAGACCCTGTCGCGTAAGATTTCCTTCCTCTTGAACCGAATTCTAGGTTTTTCATTCTGGAAACCTGCCCATAGATGAATCTTGGTGAATAACCTATGTCATGGGCCTGCGTAGATGATATCACCGAATAAAAATTGATGGCATTGGAGAATAGGAAAACAAGATGTTGATTGTCAAATAATGAACCCAGGCACCCAGTTCCATTGAGATAATGGTACTTTTGATCACAGTCTATTGACAGTCAATTGACGATGATACTCTATAGCTTGGAAATCTGTACCTCAACTTTGATACGCAGTCTCTTACGTCAAAAACTTTGAAAATCAGAATTCTGTTCATATCACACGTCTTGATGAGTGACATGAGGTTACCCAAAAAATGCCAGAAAACCTTAAATATTGCCCATTTGAAAGTGATTTGTGAAAAATCCTTGAATCAGAATGTTTCAAACCCTCAAATTCGTTTTCAGAACATCAAAATAGGAAAAACCGGATCTTATCTGATTGGCAAAATATTTTGTTTTTTTGTCAACCTGTATAATTTAACTGAATTTAATATCTAATAACAACGACATTGACGATATTGCTTACTTAATTTGAAACATCCTGAATTTTTCTAACAATTTATATATTTTCTTGGCATAAATTCCTCTCTGTGAACTCCTACTTTGATAGTGTCTTCTTCCTCCAAAAGTAATCTGGTATGGTATTCTGACTATAGTCCAAAGATCCAAACATCCAGACATGGCACCATCACGATGTAGACATAAAACGTTTTCTGTAACAAAACAAAGAAATGTCAGTAATTTTTTTCGTGCAATATTTTTATTTTAAATTTATATTTATATTTTTATCTTAAAGTAACACATAAGTTCAATAAAAAGACAACTAATTTTGGGGCAAGTCGATTTGGAGCAAGTTTTTAGCTGCCTATTTCTTTACAACGGTTTTATATACAGAGTGAATCATAAATTTGTACATATATTTTAAAGAGCGGTACAGTTTACTGTGTAGAACAATACTGTGTAATTAAATGTCTTTTTATGAATAAAATACAAATTAAAAAGATAAATTTTAAATAAGCACAATTTTTTATGAAAACTTGTGAGTATCGCTTGCTTCACTTTGCTGTTTACGCATAATTTCCCCACTCTGAATAAGAGGACTCTTATAAGAGAATAAGAGAAATAATAATATGTGATGTTGCCGGCGTTACAAAGTTTTTATGAAGTAGGGAGAAAAAGTTAATTTTTATGTAACGCACCAAGGAAATTTTTTAAATGTTTATGGCTTCCTTATCCCCTTCAACTGCTATCCGGCGATGATTATCTTCAATAATATATGTGTCAAGTGATACATACATAGCTTACAAATTCAATGTTCAATTATTCAGATTTCGAAACTAGCGCCGCGGTAAACAACTTATAACTAATTATGATTCACCCCGCATAAATCATTTGATGTATTTTCTATTATTTACCCAATTATAATGGTACCTCAATCCGGCCCTGCCCGGGTATCCATCCCGTCTCCTTAACTGCGCCCGGCCCTCAATTAAATTAAGAAAAATATGCCGGAAGCCCCCCCCCACTCCGCGATCTCCCCACCGCGAACGAACCGCCGAGGAATAAAAAAGAACGGCGGGGATCGTTACCATGTGTTCTCCGTAGTCAGGGGATACATCAATTACTTTTAATTTTCCTCGGCGATCCGGCCGGGAACGACGGGATTTGTTCTGTAAAGTGATTGCGGAGCAGAAGTTGCTGATACGCAAGAGCGAGGGCGTCCGAATGGCCGGATAAATTTTGATTAAACGCAAAAGTTAAAAGCATATTTGAACTCCGCAAGAGACCGCTGAAGATAAAAATAAAGCGAAATTGGATCTGAACGGCCGGCGCCGGACCGCGGGCCTGCATTCCAGGGACGTCCGTACTCGATATAACAAACAGAGGAGTCTTGAAATATTTTTTTTATTTTGTAACGGCACCGCAATAAACTCTCAAAGCTCATAATCTAGAACCAGAAGAAATTAAAAAAATAACGACTTTTGCCTACGACGCTATGAAGGTCAGCCAGCAAAATGTTCAGTAGTAGACCTAGCAAAAACCAAAAAGACCAATTTTCCAAACCTATGGCGGACTTCGCTATAGAATCTCCGCGGACTCATCAAAGCATGGGATCGAACGTCCACCCTTATAGCTCGCAGTATCGCAATACTATTTTAGTGTTTTACAGTGCGGTTTGTGCAAAGTGTCCCAAACTCGACGCCCCAATGGGTAACGAAAAAAGTTAACTGAAAATTTGAAGTATGGAGTCCCAGTTTTGCACTAAAAATTAAAATTTTAGATATTTCGAAAATTGTGTTGATGACGTCATGAAATATTTTTTCCAGGAACATACCTGTATTTTTCCATATTTAAAAAGAACATATTTTTCCGATAAACTTTTATTTAAAAAAAAATTTCTCTACCTATTTTCATTAAAAAATTATGAACAGTAGTAAAAATAATAATTACAAACGATTTATAATAATTATTTTAGAATTTACTGATTCGATAATAGTAGGAGGCCGTTGAAGGCTTTCATACAAGGCTTGCTATGACATTGTCAATGATGCAAGTTGACAGAAGTCCTTGAAATAGTAATATCAAATACGTACATACTTAAATACTAAACACTAACAATCACTAAAATTTTGATATAAAGTTAATTAGAGTTTAAAATATTACTGAGAATGTATGCGTTGTTTATGAGACATCCATCAATAAGTTTTGACATAAGCCTACTTTGAGAAAAGTCACTTATTTTCTTCACCGTAATATTGTAAGAGTTCAATTAAAAGCCTTTTTTCTCGAAAACCGTCCACATTAGGAAGTATTAACGTACTCTTGTTAAAACTTCCTNCAGGCCATTGGCCGCAGTACAGGCCTCACATCTTTTTCTAATTGCTCGTTTAATTTTTTGCATGACGAACCTATTTTGATTTAAATCATGACAGGCAGCTCTAATTCGTTGTTGCAGCTGTTCACGTGAGTTGATCACACTTTCATATACGTTGTCTTTTATTATGCCCCAAATGGAAAAGTCCAAAGGAGTAATATCAGGCGAACGAGCTGGCCAAGGAACAGGGCCTCCGCGACCAATCCATTTGTTAGGATATTGCTCATTAAGCCAACCTACTACTGCCCTTCCTGAGTGGGCGGGTGCTCCATCCAACTGCAGTCAACAATCTGCACGAAGCTGTAATGCCAAATTTTCCAGAACAACGGGAAGATCATGTTCTAGAAAATCTAAAAATCCATCGGAATTTAAACGTTGAGGCAAAAATACAGGACCAACCAGTTCTCCATTAATAAAACCCAACCAAACATTCACACTAAATTCATTTTGAAATGATGACGGCCTAATAGCGTGTGGGTTTTCATGTTGGTTTACTCCGTAACGGTGCCTATTATGGAGAAAACGTAAGAATGCTTTTTTGCAGAACAATGTACGGACAATTGAAACTACTTATTATTTTGAAGATCAGTCAGTGGCGTAACACATACTTTTTATAAAAGGTATCGGCAAGTGCGGAATGCATGCCACTGGCTCTTTCTGTCGAGCTGAGATTTTGTGTATTAGTACTAGTGCACTGGCATTCACCACACAAAATTTGAGAACTATTGATTTACAACTCTAAGTGATATTAACAAAAAATGATAAAAAAAATTCAACTTCAACACCCTGTACTTCGAAAATAGTTCAGATATCGAAATAAGTTTATATAGTAAAGTCCCTTTAATTTTATCGGATCTACCTTTTCCTGAATTTTCTCAGAATAAAAATGGGACACCCGTATATGTCCACCCCCTGTAACTAAACATAAATCTAACCGACGCCTAACTTCTTTTATAACTGCGTTCCTCAGCATATTAGGAGTAATCTCTTCACAGGCATTTCAATTTTTTTCTTTTAAATGTGTAAATTACGTGACATACTTTTATAGACTTTATTTTTAAGGAAACCCCATAAAAAAAGTCATGTCGGGAGATTTTCCGGACCATTTATTCCAATCCATTGTTCCCCGAAAACAGTATTTAAATAATCCTTTAAATAAACGCTTTATGGGATGGAGCTCCATCGTGCTAGAACCACAAACTCCTTCGCAACTGCAAGGGGATGTTTTTGAGAAGTGCTGGGAGTTTTTCTTGCAAGAAACGCAAGTATTCTATACTTTTCAACACATCTTCATAAAAGTATGATCTTATCAGATGAAATCCAATGACCCCACACCACACATCCACACCAAAATGCCCTTGATTTCGTATATACCAATAATTTTTTTATTTGGTAAACCATTACTTATAAAACGGCTCTCATCCCTCCAAAGAATATGATGAAATATTGGTGGATCAGAAATTTCAACAACTACCGTGATTTGTTCAAGTAAGCTCAATCTTCTTTCTAGATGAATTTCAGATAAATATTCCAAGTTATGCATTTTAATTCAATTGTTTTCCAGAGAATGTGATCAAGTTATGACTAATATAACTGTGACGTTCTAATTATTGTTTTTACTTCTGATAATTTTAATAAAAATAGAGAAAAATTTGTTTAATACAAGATTATCAGAAAAATATGTTCTTTTTAAGTATGGAAAAATACAGGTATGTTCCAGAAAAAAAAATTCATTACCTCATCAACATAATTTTCGAAATATCTAACATATAGCTTTAATATTTGGTGCAAAAAGCACTTCAATCCATGCCGCTTGAACTCCATAGTTCCATTCCATTTTCAGTAACATTTTTCGATACCTACCCTGTAATATCATTGGGGCGTCGAGTTTGAACACCCTGTAGAAACCGCACTGTAAAAACAGTAAAGCAGTATGTATTGCGATACTGCGAGGTATCAGAGTGAACGTTCGATCCCATTCTTTAATGAATCCGCAAAGATTCTGTAGCAAAGTCCGCTATAGGTTTGGAAAATTGGTCTCTTTGGTTTTTGCTAGATACGAGGAAACTCTATTAGCGTCAACAGAGCGTCGCTTTTTTTCAAATTTAGTAGTCATAAATCAGTTCATGGTGGATTTCACAATCCGTAACTAACCCCGTTAAACGTCTCCAATGGAAAATTCCATCTAATCGTAATCCATTATCTTTTAATATTAAACCGGTGTCGGCGTGAAATATTAGGTTTAAATTAATCGCAATTAATCAAACGACGTGACAGATGCTCATCTTGATTGACGATTTGGGCCCCAACTATGGTGGGAAATTACGCGAAATTAATCAAAATGGTATCGGATATTTAATAAACTTGCAGTGGACTTTATTTTTTATACTCAATGGAAATAGTGTTTACAAAAAAAAAATGCGATAGTCATATAATTTAGCTCCCCTGATCCCTTAAGAATCTAAAAAAATCTTATAATTAAATATTCAGTATTTTTAAGTTATCTGCCGAAAAAAAAAAAAAATTGGTGCAAGTGTGAATTTGAACAGAATATAGTAAATATTTAATAAAGAACTGGTTTCTTTTTAAAAAAATAGTCTATAATAGGTACAATCAAGAGAAACAAAGTAAATAACACGCACAAAATTCACAACAAATAAAATGTTGGCGCCCAACGTGGGGCCACTCAAAAAAAAATCTTAAGTCAAAACAAAATTCTAATTGCTACGAGTATTATTAATATCTATAAGAATTTTTTCCTCGGCATAGCTGAAAAAAGCACATTTTTAATCCGCCTATATGAATAAAATGATTCCATAGGCGGGCCTATTACCGAAATTTGGCGCTCGCTGCGCATTGTAAAAGTTTACTACCCTAATCAAATAACACTTTGCGGGCCGGGTACAGAGTGAATAATTAAAATCCATCGAGCAATCGATTAATGTCGCCGACTGCCGCCGCCGAACAAACCCGCCCCCCAACCACCCCCTGGACCCGAACGGGACATAGGCGGCAAAACTGTCGATAATCTCATTTAGAATCGATTAATTACGTTCGGGATACGACGCGACCCCTGCTCTGGGTAATACGACGTGAATTAAACAATCGGCGGGGCCTACTATTATTTAAGTGACCGCAGCAACGTATTATCGACGCGTCATAGATGTGCCAATGACAAGCCCACTAGAGAATTTAGTCCCCTATACCGCAGTACCAAAATAATAGGCAACAACGTTATAAATAAATCAAACCATAGTTTTTACTGTTTTTTAATGCGATAAAATAATTATTTGTATGGTAATTGTAATGTGTCTTTCATTTGGCATAGTGTTCGGATATGTTCAACCGCTGCATGCGCACTTGAAACTTTCTGTTGTTTCAAGAACCTATTTCCGTTTTTGTTTGACGAGTTCAAAGAGTGATGACTGAGACTACACGGCTTGACTTTTAAAATCCCGTCCTGTCTCAGTTTCCAGCTGAATCAGCGCGTGTCATAAGCGTATAAGTAGAAACACTAGTTATTATTTTCACGTTTTAGTTAGTGCGGTAAATGTTGTTAAAAATGTGTTTCCAATCTGATAATCAGAGTACGTTGTTAAAAAGTAAAAAAAAAGCAAAAAAGCGGAACAGGTGTTCTAAAAAAAAAAAAAAATTGAAATTGATAATAACGTTAAATATGCGATTCGTTAGAAGATTCTTCTTTTAAAAACGAACTTCCAACATTAGAAAAAATCCAAATAGCGTACAATGCACGAAATGAATTTTCGTTACTTAATACGAAATCGAAAATAGAAAAAATAATGATGTCGTACATCGACAACGAAAGTATATTTCGTCGAAACATGGATAAATGAGGGACGTGTGGTCTCCAAGGTTTCGCAAGATTTAAATATCAATAGCAATTTAGAAGGATTTTCTATGGTATTAAAGGCATAACGATTAATAATTACGCATATCGGAAGTGAATGAAGTGGATTTTTGGATGGTATACATGTGTTCGAATCGCGATAAACAGGATGATATAGACAAATGGGGTATTTGGTGCAGTGATTGTCATGAATAATGCGCCTTACCATAGTTGCGAATACAAAAGCTTGATACTAATCACATAATATTCACATAATATTCTGCCCCCAGATATTGAAACCAGTTTTTATTTATTAAATACCTAGTCATAAACAATATTTTGTTAAACACTTAAGTCACTCTCCATGTGACGTCATGCGGAGAACCAGGTTTGGTTCACGGGAATATGTACCTTCTAGTCTTTATATCATGATACTGTATAACCCAGTATTTGCAAGAATCGCTTTCATTAGCGACAGATCAACGTTCAGCTTGGCTTAAATGCAAAACTTTTTTATAATACAAATTTCTTTGCAGGTTATGGCAGTATAGCCCCCAAAACGGCCCTGGGGAAGGCGGTCACCATGGGCTACGCCATGCTGGGCATCCCCCTCACTCTCCTCTACCTGTCCAGCGTGGGCAGCATCCTCAGCAGGGTAGCCAGAGGGGTGTTCTCTAGGGCGTTGTGCTGCTGCCTGTGCTCCAACTGCGGTTACTGTTGTTACGACGAGAAGAGGATGGCCGAGAAGGAGAAGAGGATGAAGAAGAAGAGGCAACAGATGGAACTGCAGCAGCAGCTTGGTGAGTTTTGGGTTCAAATTGAACCAGGGTATACACGATGTTCGTTCATCCGACCGCCAAACTTGTGTCCTTGGTGAAAATTAACACAAAAAGTAAAATTTTGGTCATTTTGATTCCTTGTTTTAGTTGAAATAGTCAGTCCAATATAAGTATACGTAATATGTAATATGTAAAAAATTGTTAATTTTTACCAAAGGACACCCACAGAGCAATTAAATTAAGAAATTTCTTATATTTTGCTCTTTAATCAACGTTAGTCGATCTAACATCGCGAAGAAGCACGTCAGTGTACGGACCCCTTTTATCTCCCCCAGGTCTCCAAGAGCCTTTCTACGTGCGCTCCAACTCCAACTACAGCAACAACCTGCACTCGCCGTGCAGGGACGGCGCCTCCGCCAAGGAGCTAGACAGCCTCAGCGGCACCGACAACGAATCCAAGAGCTCCATGCACGGCTGGTCCATCCTAGCGCCCATCCTGCTCTGCCTCTGCATCATGTTCTTGTACATCTGCCTGGGGACGTTCGCCCTCTACAAACTGGAAGACTGGTCCCTTCTGGACGGCTTCTACTTCTGCTTCATGAGCCTCACCACCATAGGATTCGGTGATATGGTGCCCGGGTCCGACCCCTTCCTCCACTACGAGTCCAACGCCACCATATGGTTCTGCTCCATCTACATCATGTCCGGCATGGCGCTCACCGCCATGTGCTTCAATGTGGTCCACGACGAAATCGTCCATAGGTGGGTGTCTAATGCTAGGTCTACACAGAGCGCTTTATTAGCTTTGTTCGCTGTGTATCTTATAAATAGCCATCACTTTCTTCGATAGCGTACACTAAAAATAGACACCATTGTGTTACGCTGAGGGCACACAGAGCACTATCTTTGCTAGTGTATATTAAATATAACCTCAACTGTTTTATGATATTGTCACATAAAGTACTATGTTCGCTAATGTGTTCAAAAAATAGCCGAAACTATTTTTACCAAGGCCACACAAAACACTGATGTTCACTAGTTGATTTTAAAAATAAGCGCCATTGTATTATGTTAAGCCACATAGATCGCTATGTTCGCTAGTTTATATTAAAAATAGCTGCCATTGATTTAAGTTACTACCACAAGGAGGAAGGTAACTATGTTCGCTATATACAAATATTACATTGTTTCATACCATGGCCATAAAGAGCGCTATGTTCGCTAATGTACATATGGTTAAAAATAGGCGCACCATTATTTCTTTGGCTAAGGGCACCCAAAGCGCTTTGTTCGTTAGTGTATATAAAAACTAGCCACCACTTATTTATGCTAAAGCAACACGAAGTGATATGTTCGCTAGTGTATATTAAAAATAGCAGCCATCGTTTTATACGAAGGCAGCACATAACGCTATATTAGCTGTATTCGTTGTGTTAGCTTTATACATTAAAAACGGCTAATATTACTGCTACACAGATCATTGTACATTTGTTACGCTCACTACGAATAAAAAACACACTACTAATAATACTAATTGTAAATGTGATTCACACATGTGATAATGGAGTCATTGAAGCAAATTTTTCTTTCGACTATAATTTTAAAGCCTTATCGTCACTGATGACGAGCATTGCCCATATACAACAAATACACTGTTTTTAACTGAATTTAATATTATACTGAGGGATATTTATATATCATTTTTAACATACACAGCAAATGTAGCTACCATAGCATTTTGTGTGGCCTTAGCACAAAACGATGATTTTAAATTTTAATACACATCGCAAATACACTGACCGTTGTAAATGATCATAATACTGACAGTGTTAACGTGTATAAAGTAGCGAACATAGCTACATAGCGCTCTGTGTGACACGATATACCGTCCCCACCCCATATAAATCGATTAACCTCGCAGATTAAAGCACCAGGAGAAGACCATCCCCAAGCTCAACTCCACCAGCTTCCCCGACGACCTGAACGTCAGCGACCCCTACAATATGACCTCATGACAGTTCAACCCGCAGAAAAACAGCACCTTCTACCACAGGAACTTGACGGAGGAGACCCTGCTGAGCACCGGGACTCCCACCTCAATCGTGGACGTCGGCATGACCCACGAGCTGGTTCCGGTGCCCGCTAAGATACCGGAAGTGCTGGAGGGGCCCGTCATGACGGGCGTATACACCCTACCGGAAGAACCGGAGAACGAGGAGACATCCGAGGACAACACGGAGATGTGAAGGGTGCGGATTTGTGCGCTGAGGCTGAGGAACGTGAAAAGTTGATGAATTTTTTAAAGTTGTAGTCGTCGGGATTCGACACCCGGCGATGGTCACGTAAATGGTGGAATGGAAGTGTAACGGTCTCGCGCAAAAATATTTTTTACAATTTTGTAGTCGAAATTATAGGTTAATTGAAATTCGAAGCCAGCTCACTGTAATATTCCCTCTAATACTGTCTTTCTAAATAATTTGTCAAATTTTTAAGTCGGTTGTAACACACATGTCTAATATGCAGGAGCGTTTTCCTAGTACAAATTTAACAATATTTTTATATAAGTACAGGGTGTTATTTAAGTACGTACACAAACTTTAACTGGAGATGTTTTGAGTAATTTTAATCCAAAATGGTTATATAAACATGAGTCCACAAGTGGATAGTTTTGGAGATACCTACACTATATTCAAATTTAAAAAAAAAATCGCGTTTTTAAAATGCCATACCTTCCAAACACCCTGTATAAACCCGTATATTTGTCATTGGAGTCCTTGTTTAAAACAAGATGTCAGAGAAGAAAAATGTCATGCAAGTTAAATTTTGTTGCAATATATTTTTTTGTTCCCATGACATTTAGAAACATGACACTTTCATCATCTGGAATTGAAAAAATGTCTCCTTCACTTTCGACACCTTGTGTTACACCCAGTATAGTAAATATTAATTTAGAAATAAATTACAAATAAAATTAATTTTCAACACTCGACATATTTTTTTTATCATTTAAATGGACTCATATTTAACCGAAACTTTTATCTATTTTTATACATATCAATAAGATTTGATTGGAACCATTATTTGTCGAAAAATTAGATGAGAAAATATTTGTAAATAGTGTACAGAAAAACCTCACAACTTTTTTTTATTTCTACGCAACATAACAGTGGCAAATATTGTACTTCTACGTGATTCCTAAGCTCCCTCTCATTATGTGTGTTGTTCATTTTTTTTTTAACTGTGATAAAATACACTGTCTGACACAATGTAGGACCTAATCCAACATTTCCGAAGATATTGTAGAAATATCACATTGAATTCGCAGAAACGAAATGTATATATTGTGAATCATTCTGGATGTTTTCACATTTTTGTGTAAGAAAATTGTCTACAGGGTGCTTCACTCGAATTCGATTCTTGAAACTAGATCCTAACACTACACACAATCTGCATTCTCCTATATTACCATAGAACATAGAACTATCGTTAAAGTAAATAAAATGGCACAGCTAGAGTGGACCACCTTGTATATAATAGTGTACCACGTTTGAGGTTGGTTAAAGCTTTCCAATAATGTTGAGATATTGAAAAATAATCCAGAAATCATCAAATTTATTTGTAATTAAAGTTATACAAAATTAGTAACGTTTTGAAAAGTAAATCGCTCATTTAAAATCTAATTTATTAAGTGCCTTAGTACAGGACTAAAAATACAAAGTGTTGAAAGAAGGCCAAACGTAAAAAATAAATATTATTAAGAGTTTATCAAATTACAAACAACTTATCATTGTTTTCGTAACATTCTAGATATTTAAATCCAAAAGAATGCACTTCAAAATATGTTTGATCACATTTTTTATATAAAGTACATTTATAGATTTATGAGGAAGAACTTGAATCGAGTTGCCACCGTGTCATAATAAAACAAACAGGGATTCATGGTCCCACTATTGACACTATTTTCGTTGAATAGAGACCCCTGTATGCAAATTTTCAGATTTCAATTTTGACTACTTTTTGAGATAATCGTACTAGACCCTCTTCGTGATACACCCTGTAGAGCCTTCATAAATGATTACAAGCCACGTGATAATTAATTTTGTTTGGAACAGCAGTTTTATTTCCTTCACACTGGCAATGGAATTTCCGTCAAATTAAAAATTATTAAACAATAAGATCAGGATTACATAAAATACGTTCTGTTTTACTGGCGAATGATTGGCGTAATTTTTCACATTTTATTCAACCAGTCAGCGATCGCATTATCTCGAGCGTAGACACAACGGTTTGTCATTGTTCACTGTAAACGAATCATTAATATTGATGATTTAGGTATTTTAGCTGACAATGCCAATCGTGCAATGTTGGTTGCATGAATCCGACAGTGACATAGCTTGTAATCATTTGTATTTGGTCTTTCCCAAGGCTATTCCACGATAAAAAGTCTTACGTCTGTGAAGATAATAAAATAATGAAGTTACTTTCCCTCGTGTGAAGGAAACTTTTATTGCACCATCTCCACTAATGTAAGTTTATTTTTATAGTGGTATCGCCTTAAGAAAGACTAAATACGTAGTCAAAACCTCACCAAATTTAGTAAAAAATTAGTTTTACAAGGATTTCATCTGTTTACTATCGATTCAAAAACATCTTACATATAAATTGATTCACAGAAGCAAATTATTCTAAGTACTGTCCTAATAAAACTATTTTTACTGTAACTAAACCCGTGTCGACGCAGATCTCTTGCGTTATATGCTTTAATGTCTTCTAGCCTCAGATATGGTACATTTTTTTTTAAAGAATCCTACTTGCTTCCTCTGCGTTATTAAAGTCTGTATAAAAAGTCTACCAACTAGTTCTTACCTAAATGATGTACATAGAGTACGTTAAACATAAGGGACTGTAGCAACAACAAATATATTAAATGTAAATGTCGGTCCTTCAACGTGACATATGTTACCTGTAAATACATTTTCCTGTAAATTTCGAAACTCTTTGTACGAGCGTATTAGTTTTTATGCTCCTAAGTGGACGAGCCACGTTTAGGGTGTTTATATTAAAGATTAATTGTTAAATGTCAAACAATGGTGAGAGACTGGTGTGGCGGGTGAGTGTTATGATCATTTGTATTAAATAAACAGAAATCTTAACAGGCGGAGTTTCATTTGTCTGTATTCCAACAAAATTCCCCTAAAAGAATAAAAATTTGAGAGCTACTTAATATAAATTATTTAGTAGCAACATAGTAAACCAACTTTTAAGAATTGAAGATTTAAGCTTCACGTTAAAACTTTTACGATGAAGTAAACTCCAGAAAAATGTATCGGGCCCACTCCTCTCCAAGTGTCTCTAAGGCTCATAAATACAAAAGCATGGAAAAAGGTAAAGAGAGGGCGAATAAGAAATTCCGTGTTTCATAAATAAGTAAAAATATTCAGCCGTATGCAATCTTGCCCTGACTTGTGGCCAAACTTTTATGATTACCGCGGAATTATTTATTAAAGCGTCGGCAGAGACGTCAAACCTTACTGAATATTGAGTGTTTACCCCAAATTGTATTAAAGGATGCGGTGAATATTTTATTACGAGCTTAGGAAGCAGCAACCCCTCCAAGGGGTTTATTAAAGAAAGATGAACAACTGTCAGAGGCAAACCAAGTGTGTTCATATATGTACTCTTAAAATTATAATTAATTAAACTAAAATAATATATCAGATGGCACATTTAATAATAATTGTAACTAAATATGTACCTAAATATCTTCAGAAAAAAGAATTTTAAATTTTTGATAAAATCTAAATATTATAAAATTTGCACACTTTGTATTACCTTACAGTAATACAAAATTCTATTTGAATTAGTGCATAAATACTAATTTATTTTTGATATTTTACTTACCAAAAATATTAACCACAAAATATTGTAATGTAAATTAAACTGATCCCGCCATCTTGATCTTGCGATAGCATCCACAAACTTATTTAAAAAGATGGTTTAGATTTCTGTAATTTCAGAGTCAGGCAGAAGTAGTTGAACCTTCAACTATAAGATGGCATTTGTGATAGATTCCTATAATAGTTATATTGATTCCTGTAATGCCACGTTCTCAGACACGAATAGTTTAACGTTTAGATACAAGATGTCGCTCGAGTAGATTTCCAAAAATATTTATAAATCAACTATTTTATAATTACTTAGAAATAAAAAATTTAAATTTAGTCTTCCGTTCTCAATAACAAATAAATACAATGTACAAATACAAATTCATAACGGGAATTGTTAACGAGTAGACTTGACATTAATTTGAGCTAACCGTCGACGTTACGATCTTGAAGCATGGCGGGAGAGTTTATACCCTGCAAGGTAGATGGCGACGTGAATTTTGACGTTTAAAACAGTGGAGCAGCAAACCATTCCGGAAATAACATATGTTTGATTCAATGCGGTCCGCAACATTTAGGAACGACACCGGCCATTTTAGAGAACAGTGTTTGGTTTGATAATTTTAATATCAAAATTAAATTTGTAATTAATGTCAGAACCACAGTCAGCTCTTCTATTAAGAAAACAGCTAGCAGGTTAGTAAACACGATTTATTTGTGCCTTTTATTTGACAGCTTAAATATCGATGTGGACTAGGTGGGCTATTTTGCATCTGAAAACGTCCTCGTACAACTTCGATTTTTTTAATATGCCCGTCTGGCTTTTCCAAAAATAGTCGCAACTCGTTATTTTCGCATAACCGTACCGGCTTTCTTGCACAGCCGTCATAAATAGGCCCGGTTCGGCATGAAAATCAATATCTAAATTTTTCTCATCATGCATGTCAAATTTATGCAAACCTCTTAAATTTAATAAATACCTCCTCGTTTCGCGAAAACCACACCTTTATTTTGAATCAGCCCCTTTTGTTTACTAATTATATGAGGCGTTTAAACGGGAAAATCGCTGATTTAGAAGAAAACCGTGGTCGAATTTAACATAAATGGTGTGCACACATTTTTTTTTGCAAAAAAAACAAATCCCACATCAACCGGTCCAGGGGCTCTTCCGACACGCATAAATATTAAAATTCATTAGCATACTCAACCTTTACTTGCGAAATAGTCCTTACAATACACTTCCTGCACAATTTTTTATTTATACACAAGGTTAGACATTTATCTTTGTCAGGGATACTAGTATTTTCTCTGACCTTGACTAACGTTAGGATTAATGCACTCATCCGAGATTTTCTTCTTTCAGAATTGAACAAGAACCCCGTTGAGGGTTTTTCTGCAGGCCTTATAGATGATAATGACATTTACCGATGGGAAGTACTTATAATAGGGCCTCCCGATACGCTTTAGTAAGTACAAATAAAAACCACCATTTTTCTGCATTATATCAAGTTTTAATTAATGTTTTGCAATTTATTCAAGTCCGAATCCAAAATGAAAGTGAAATATTGCATCATTTAGTACATGTTTTAAAAATTTGAGGTTATGTTCGTAGCAGTGCTGTGGAGGCACTGACCTTGTATTTATTCTTATCTAATGACAGGATGGTCCAAAATTATGCTAAAGATAACGAATATGGTGACAAAATATCTTTAAAGATGTTTAGAGTGTAAAGATTAAAATTATACCTTGGAAAATGCAACTCATTACACATTACCGACTTTGCTAATCCTTGTTTGCATAATTCATATGACGAGTAGTACCGATTTCTTGCTTCGGTGAATGCATTAATCCAAACGTCCGTTTTTCTTTCAGTGAAGGAGGTTTTTTCAAATGCCACCTCTATTTTCCTAAAGAATACCCACTTAGGCCCCCAAAAATGAAGTTTGTCACAGAAATATGGCATCCTAATAGTAAGTAAAGTTTGTGCACACTTATAATACAACTTAACAATAAGTTTCCTAACATCTATCGATTAGTTTTAATCATTAACTATAATATTCTCAATTCACTTAACTGAAACTTCTTGTTTGTTCCGCAGTTGATAAAAACGGCGATGTGTGTATATCGATTCTGCACGAGCCAGGCGACGACAAGTTTGGCTACGAAAAAGCCTCGGAACGGTGGTTGCCCGTGCACACAGTAGAGACTATTTTAATTTCAGTTATCTCAATGTTAGCCGATCCCAACGACGAGTCACCGGCCAATGTGGACGCCGCTGTAAGTTGAACATTTGAATTCTCGTAAAATAGTGTGTTGTATTCGCTGCGTTTGCATCAAACGTCAATTCTTTTAATTGTTAAAGTAATGCAGCAGGCCATGGAAAAGTGAAGCACATGTTTCGTTTGTTTCTATATGTCAGTTTTAAATTAATTTGAGGTTATGTTAGTATATTGGTGATTTCCATGGCGAAATTTTGTTCCGTTAGAGCTGTGGTGTGACTGACAGGCGTGTGTTCTCTGTTACAGAAAGAGTGGAGGGAATCGTATTCGGAGTTTAAAAGAAAAGTGGCAAGATGCGTCCGGAAGTCACAAGAACAAGAGGAATGTTAGTATAATGACCGTATTACAATAAAACCTTAAAACAATTACACCAATGGTTTGATTCTAGAGCTGTTAAAATTTGCCGATTTTTTGTATGTCGTTCTCTGTAGTTTTTTATACAAACAAAATGTGTTTATATATATCTCGCGTCTCAAAGAGAAATTTTAACACTTCCAGAATCGACGCTGCCCGATCATCATATGACAACCGTTTTCTCCTCTACTTTTTTTATTTAAGATCTCACGGCAACTGAGAAGTTAGGTTATACCTGAGAAATTTTTCGTTTTTTTTATTTAATAAAAACCTTGTTTATTATTGCTTTTGCATTTTCTGTTACGATTTGCGGTCGTGTGTGTAACATTGTGTATCCGATGGGTTCCTAGATGGGGGCCGCGCCTTCTTGACGGACACAGTTCGGAGAACTCTTTTTAAATCACAACTTTACGCATTGAGAACTCGCTTTGTTACACGTGTTGAGATGTTTCGCACAATAAATTTACTTGTATATAAAAAGGAAACGTAAGCGGCCCAAGCATAAAAAACCCATAGTCGGTTTAAATCTGTATGTAATATTATTTAAAATGTTTATAAGTATATTTGTTTTGTGATTCATGAAATTGATGAGTTTTAATATAATTTTTATTTAATTCAACTCTCAAGCCCATTATAAAGTCTAGAGGGCACAAGTCAAGGCCTAATACCGGCCATAGGTTTTACAAACCCCTGTATTAAGAACCAGTGATAAAAAAATACTGAAAATCATATGTGATATTTTTTATAACTGTTACTTTTCATTTCTGTTGCTGTACCACGTAATCTCACATAATTATTACAGTTACATTAAAGACTGTTTGTATAAACGACTCTGAAGTTTGGGGTCTACGAGTTTTCGAAAATGGCATAGATGGCCTTCCTACTCGACTGAAAACAATATTGTGAGATTATGTTCGTAAAAACTCTCGATTGGTTGGGTTGTTTACGATTCTGTCCATTTTTCTATAACCGTTACCTTTGAATATACCATCCGATCTGTGTCTGGAGAAAGGTAGACTCCTGCTTACCGTGTCGATATATATATATATATTTGTATGGAAATTAATGCCCTCAGAACCGTCTTGTTTAAGTTGTACCATACCGTTTAAGCCCGAGAACCATGAATGAGTATGAAATGTATTTTTCAGAGTAAGCAACCAGTCAGCAACGGAAGTTGTAATAATCTTAAGACATTCATTTGTCGGAAATACTTGTAACTCTTAGATATGTAAATTGAATTGTAACACTGTAGGTATCGTAATTTAAGTAAATTTTATTAAAAAAACGTGCCCACCTAGTTTTATTTCGTACACCACCCGATCAAGTTGCCTCTGACGACTACAAACTTCGCTTAAACGAAGTTGCCATTGTTTCGGTTTTTGTTTGAATCATCAGGATAATTGCAGAACTGAAGAAGATATGACTAACAACAGAAACATTCCAGAAAAATTTAAAAATTTCATAAATACGACAAAAGAGTTAGAAAACATGTAAAAGAACCTGTACATCTCGTAATTAATTATTTTTATTTTATACAAATATTCTCCAAGTTGGCTTAAATTTCTGATTATATACTTTACAAGTATTTTTATGCAATTTTTAACTCTTAAACATTCTGGAGGAATATAAAAAAAAATTGGTTAAGGCCATAATAAAACAATACTCAAATGTGGTATTGTATAAGTTACACCTACGGCATATTAAACGCCAATAGTAAAATTCTAAGATTTGTTTTTTTCGCCAAATCATGAACTATCTTGAGAATATAGGTAACCCATATAAAAATAATGTCGAGTTCAACTTTTTTTATGACGGTAATTTTTCACGAAGTAAATATCTTTGGCCATGTACCAATCCACCTGGTGACCCATTTCTACCAGGTAATTATCGTCCTCTTCTAGTTTTCTGTATCATTTCCAGAACTCGGAAAAACATAGGCGGGTGTTCAGGGGGTATTTCAACCCCCAACTCCTTAATAAAAACGAAACGCGACTTTCTTGGTTATTTTACGTCAGGCTATTTCTGCTACAAGGATAAACGAGAAGCCAGCAACCCCCAGTAACTGAAAATTTTGCTATATAACTTTTTTTACAATTTATATGCCCAAATTAATTGTCCTATATTTTCTAAAGTATACAATTTTTTCAGTAAATTTAATGAATACATTTTTAAAGCATTCAAAATAAAGAGAAATTTTAAAGATCGCACTTTGATCTTTTTCATTTTCGAATCTATTGTATTCGACGTTGATCCCTTCGACGAAATTGATGCCTACGCCTCTGTGTATTGTGAAAAATAGGAACGGCTGCACTTGCCCGATACTTAGCGCGACCTCGAGCGAAAACTTTTGTTTGTATTTTCGTTAAAATAGGTTCTTTAATGCACCTCTATTTTGAGACTTGGACTACTTTCGAAATCGAAAATATATACCACTATACTAA